ATTTTTTACTTTAACCACGATTACAGACTGTAAACATGTTTTCGTTAATATTTGCTAAGTAAATTCATATTATATATGGGTGATTTAATTGATCTGAGTTATATTCTTTACTTTGACTACGATTACAGATGGTAAGCCTATTTTTGTTAGTAAATTCATATTATAGGTGGTTTAATTAATCTGGGTTGTATTCTTTACTTTAACTACGATTACAGATGGTAAGCATAATTTCATTAATATTGGTTAAGTAAATTCATATCATAAGTGGTTTAATTGATCTGAGTTATATTCTTTACTTTAACTACGATTACAGACTGTAAGCATATTTTTGTTAATATTTATTGAGTAAATTCATATCGACGGTGGTCTAATTATCTGAGTTGTATATATTCTTTAACTACGATTACAGACGGGAAGCATATTTTCATTAATATTTGTTGAGTAAATTCATATTATAGGTGGTTTAATTGATCTGAGTTATATTTTTTTACTTTTAGAGAGTAAGCATATTTTCATCAATATTTGCTAAGTAATTAATATCTTGGTGGTTTAATTGATCTGAGTTATATTCTTTACTTTAATTACGATTAAAGACGGTAAGCATATTTTAATTTAATATCTGTTGAGTAAATTAATATCATAGGGGGTTTAATTGATCCGAGTTATATTCTTTACTTTAGAGAGTAAGCATATTTCCATTAATATTTGTTGAGTAAAGTCATATCATAAGTGGTTTAATTGATCTGAGCTATATTCTTTACCTTAACTACGATTACAGACAGTAAGCATATTTTCATTAATATTTGTTAAGTAAATTTATATCAACGGTGGTTTAGTTGATCTGAGTTATATTCTTTACTTTAACTACGATTATAGACTGTAAGTATATCTCATTAATATTTGTTGAGTAAGTTCTTATCAACGGAGGTTTAATTGATCTGAGTTATATTCTTTACTTAAACCACGATTATAGACAGTAAGTATATTTTTATTGATACTGTATTTGTTGAGCAAAATCATATTAACCGTGGTTTAATTAATCCGAGTTATATTCTTAACTTTAACTACGATTACAGACTGTAAGCATATTTTCATTAATATTTATTGTGTAAGTTCATATCAATGGTGGTTTAATTGATCAGAGTTATGTTCTTTACTTTAACTACGATTACAGATGGTAAGTATATTTTAGTTAATATTTGTTGAGTAAATTCTTATTAACGATGGTTTAATTGATCTGAGTTATATTTATTTTAATTACAATTACAGACTGTAAGAATATTTCTATTAATATTTTTTAAGTAAATTCATATAAACGGGGGCTAAATTGATCCTAGTTATATTATTTTAACTACAATTACAGACTGTAAGCATATTTGCATTAATATTTGTTGAGAAAATTCATATCAACGGTGGTTTAGCTGATCTGATTTATATTTTTTACTTTTAGCTTGTAAGCATATTTTTATTAATATGTGTTGAGTAAATTCATATAATAGATCTGAGTTATATTATTTACTTTAACTACGATTACAGACGGTAAACATATTTTCATTAATATTTGTTGAGTAAATTCATATTAACAGTGGTTTAATTGATCCGAGTTATATTTACTTTAACCACGATTAAAGACTGTAAGTATATTTTTATTAACATTTACTGTATTGAGTAAATTCATATTAACGGTGGTTTAATTTATCTGATTTATATACTTTACTTTAGGGGGTAAGCATATTTTTATTAACATTTATTGAGTAAATTTATATTAACGGTAGTTTAATTAATCCGAATTATATTCTTTACTTTTAGAGTGTAAGTATATTTTCATTAATATTTGTTGAGTAAATTTATATCAACGGTAGTTTAATTGATCTGAGTTATATTTTTTACTTTTAGTGGGTAAGCATATTTTCATTAACATTTGTTGAGTAAATTTATATCAACGGGGGTTTAATTGATTCGAGTTATATTCTTTACTTTAACTACGATTACAGACTGTAAGCATATTTTCATTAATATTAAGTAAATTATTAACAGTGGTTTAATTGATCCGAGTTATATCCTTTATTTAACTACGATTACAGACAGTAAGCATATTTTCGGTAATATTTTTGGAGTAAATTCATATTAACGGTGGTTTAATTGATCTGAGTTATATTCTTTACTTTAACTACGATTACAGACAGTAAGCATATTTTCATTAATATTTGTTGAGCGAATTAATATCAACGGAGGTTTAATTGACTGAGTTATATTCTTTACTTTTAGTGGGTAAGGGTATTTTCATTAATATTTGTTGAGTAAGTTTATATCATAGGTGGTTTAATTTATTCTTTACTTTAACTACTACTGTATTACAGTCGGTAAGCATATTTTTATTAATATTTGTTGAGTAAATTCATGTGTGGATTAATGGATCTGAGTTATATTCTTTCCTTTTAGGGGGTAATCATATTTTATTAATATTTGTTGAGTAAATTCACATCAACGGTGATTTAATTAATCTGCGTTATATTCTTTACTTTTAGTGGGTAAGTATATTTTTATTAATATTTGCTGAGCGAATTAATATCAACGGTAGTTTAATTGATCTGAGTTATATATTTTACTTTAACTAAAATTACAGACTGTAAGCATATTTTCATTAATATTTGTTAAGTAAATTCATATTAACGGTGGTCTAATATATTCTTTACTTTAATTACGACTATAGACGGTAAGCATATTTTCATTAATATTTGTTGAGTATATTCGGTTTAATTGATCTGAGTTATATTTTTTACTTTTAGGGAGTAAGTATATTTTCATTAATATTTGGTGAGAAAATTCATATTAGTGGTGGTTTAATCGATCTGAGTTATATTCTTTACTTTAACTACGATTGCAGACAGTAAGCATATTTTCATTAATATTTGTTGAGTGAATTTATATCAACGTTGGTTTAATTGATCCGAGTTATATTCTTATCTTTAACTACGATTACAGACGGTAAGCATATTTTCATTAATATTTGTCGAGTAAATTTATGTCAACGGTGGTTTTATTGATCTGAGTTATATTCTTAATTTTTAGGGAGTAAGAATATTTTCATTAATATTTCTTATTTTAAATGAATTACATTTTCATTTTACTATTGGCTCTAATATTTTGGGTGATAATATTATTTTAATTACTTAGGTAAATGCAACCAATGTGGAAGAATAGCCTCTCAATTCTGGTGTCACTATTGCAACTCCCTTCATTTTAAAGAAGATTTTGATAAATGGACAAGTGGAAATAAAGATGTTGATGATTTTATACAAAAAGTGCAATTAGAAGCAACAAGTAGATTCAAGGCTCTTGAATGGATTCAATACGAAAAATTTGAAAATGTTGAAAAAATTGGTGAAGGTGGTTTTGCTGAAGTTTATTCGGCTGATTGGAAGGAAGGATCCATATTGTATTGGAAAAAACACGGCCAGTGGAAGAGATCCGGAGAAATAAAGGTAGCGCTAAAATGCTTAAAAAACTCTCAAGAGATATCTAAGGAATATTTGGCGGAGGTAATAATCATATTATCAATGCAATGAAATTTTAATCCCTTTCGTGTCGCGTTATAAAATTAAATATTTATTAATGTGACAATTTATAAACTTATATACTGTAAATTACTTTGCTGATAATAAATTTAACTTTAAATCTAGGTAAAAAACTTTCATAAATTAAACGATGGTGACTCACAAATCACAAGATGCTATGGCATCACCAAAGACAAAAAATCAAACTTTATGATAGTTATGAAATTTGTTGATCATACTAAGGTGATTTATGAATTATCGTGGGGGAAGAAGTTCAAGCGCCTACATTATGCTGCACTTGGATTATACAAAATTCATAAATCCGGATTGGTTCACCAGGATTTTCACTCTGGAAACATTCTTTTTTCTAATAAGAATGATGAGGTTTACATAACAGATTTAGGTTTATGCAAACCAGCTAATTATAAGACGAAAGATGTCGAACTATACGGAGTTCTTCCTTATGTAGCGCCTGAGGTTTTTCACAATAAGATACCTACAAAGGCCGCAGACATTTATTCATTCGGAATGGTCATGTACGAAGTATTTTATGGCGCTTCGCCTTTTAGCAATGTTGATTGTGAAAATGTGGAAGAAAGTAAAATCCTTGCAATTGAAATTTGTAACGGGAAGCGACCAGAAACTCAGGATCTACCCCCTTTAATAGCTGAATTGATAAAAAGATGTTGGGATGCAGATCCAGCAAGACGACCATCTGCAGAAGATTTGTGTAAAATTTTAAATGCTTGGAAAAGATTTACATCCGTATCAGAACTTAGCAAGCAAATTAATGCAAGTGAAGAGAATCAGACGCGTCAACCACTTGGTCGTACAAGTGATCAAATTCATATAAGTCAATTTCTTCGTACAAGCAAAGTTCTTGATTTTAAAAATCTTCCTCAGCCCCAAAATTCCGAAATTGAGATGAATCAGATGCGTCAATCTTCTTGTCGTGCAAATGAACAAATTCATACAAGTCAACGTGATTTAAAAAATCCCGAAATTGAGGTGAATCAGACAAGTCAAAAGCCGAGTATTAAAAAGCGACTTCTTAATTTGTTTACGAGCGAGAAATCAACGTTTTAAGGTAAATAGTATATTATATACCACGGTAGAACTTCGATATAAACACGTTTATAAATATTTTCATTTTATTTTTTTTCTGATATTATTTGAACTGTTGTCTTAGCAAGGGCTTTGTAGTGATCTACTATACTACTGTATAACATTATTTTTTTTGTTAATTTATTTTACGTTACTATATTTTATTTTCAATTAACAATTTGATATTCATTGGAGGTGTGAATAAAATTTGAACTTTTGATAAACTAGTCTTGTATAAAAATGAATTTCTAATTACAATTAAAAGAAAAAAACAATGAGTCAAGTATCAATTTTATATGTTAAAGTATATTATTGTCTATTCATTCGGAACTATAAAAGTTAATACAGTGTCAGAGGGTAAAGATATAGTTGCCATCCAGACTAGATATGAAAAGTTCCAAATCCCAAACTTATTGGGCTATATTTTGTTCCAAATTCCAAATTATATTATTTAGAACAATCCAATCCCATGTATGTTCCAAATCCCATGTATGCTCCAAATCCCATATATGTCCCAAATTCCATCCCAAATCCTGTATAATTCCAAATTCCATATACATTTTATTAAAAACAGTTGGTCAATAAAATTTTAATTAACTAGACAAATAATAAAAGTAAAATAAAAAAAAAATAAAAAATTTTTTATTCTAAATATGTATTATCTAGCATTGTATCAATATCAAATTCTGCTGTTTCATGACTAATTTCTTCCACCTTTTCTTGATCAAAACCTTCAAAATCATCTATAATCATAATAAAATAGATTAAAAAAATAATCCAAAAGAAAAATATATATATCAAATTCTGCATATCAACAATTATATATATTGATACATATTTTTTTAAAATCCAAGTTTTGTATATTCAAAATTCTTTAATTGCTTGAGTCATTTTTAATAATCCAATAAATATTGAAGTTAATGTTACAGTTTTATATTCAACACCTTTTCAAAACTTGTTTGGAAGGATTCAATGCATTTTGAAGTTGTTCAATATCAATTCAAAATTGTCCATTATTGATAATTGCTTTGATTTATTTAGCTTTATTAAAAATTTCTGATTAATTTTGATGAATCTTTTAAATAAATATTAATAAAAAGTTAAAAAAAGTTTTTTTTTTTTGAAAATAGCAAATGACTATTATGCTTTATTATATTTATTATACTTTCACTTGCAAATCAAGATACAATATTCAATAGCATGACATACATCTCTTTTTGCTAGGAAGAGTTTAATACAAGGCTCCCATATGGGGTCAGATTCCTGTGCTCTTTTAGCACCATTTAAGAAATACAGATAAAAAGAAATTCAAAAATCTATATCCAGTTGGCTTCCAAGTTATAATTAGAATTAGCATGCCTGCTTTTCAAATATGACTTAATATATGGCAAGCAGAGTAGTGTTGGAGAAAGTAAAAAATGAGTACCTTTTTGCATAAAGGTGCTGCAGCCACTTTATACAGGTTTGCCTCCAAGTCACAAAAAGGATTTGGCACATTTATGCTTCAAGTGTGGCAGAAGTGTTCTATAAATGGAGTTTATATTGGTTTTCTTAGTGGTGCTGGAACCTAATCTTGTACAATAGACCTATATTATTGAAAGATAAGCAAGAAACTTTCATTGTCATCACCAGCTTGTGTTGCGAAGGTATTTAGAATCTCTGGTTATTAGGTATTATTCTACTAAGTTTTCTAATCACTAGCATGACACCTGCAACTAACCTAGCTTATTGCTAGCTGCATTGGCATTGATTGCCATTTCACTTTGGATACTAGGAGGCACAATTCCTTGAGTACTTTCAGATAATAATAGTTGTATAAAGATTTTTTGAATGTATCTAGTCTAATTACTATCAGTAAACAATGCCGGGTTTGGTAATGATGGTTATATTGATCTTTTGGAGGGGATAAGCCGTTCATCCTTTTTCTGAAGAACCATAAAAGAGTGAAAAAATTCTAAAGCCCATATTCTAAAAAATGTTATCACTTCTTAATATAGTTCTTGAGAAAAGTGAGTCAACTGGCCAGAGGAGTAATGTTATAGAGATGAAGTTTTCAAAAGAGAAAAAGGCATAAAGAGAAAAACCTTTAGGAAAAAAGAAAAACCTATATTGGCAGGAAGAGAAAAGAGGAAAGAGGAAAAGAAGGGTAAAAAATAAAAAAATATATATATAAGAGAAGAGAGAGAATAGAAAAAAAAAAATAAAGAGATGTGAGAGAAAGCATAGAAAGAGAGAAAGGAAGAAGACGAAGAAAAAGAGCAGACAACTCAAAAATTTCCTAAAAAGAAAATTTTCAAGCATAGAAAGGGAGTGAAAAGAGTTTTTTTTAAGTTAAAAAAGGTTTGTTTTATAATTAAATATAACAATAATAATAATTACTACTTTATTACAATTTCATATTTTAAAATTGTTTCAGTACAATTCCATACTGTTAACTAATGTGTTTTAGTTAATGTTTTTAATTTTCTGATTGCTATAAAATTTTTAATTAATGAAATTATTAATAAAACTTTTTCTTAAACATACTCACATTTTAATAAAACTATCAAAAAAAGAAATTAAAAATTTTTTCTTCAAAAAAAGCTGTAAAGGACCCTGGAGAATCTTTTTCATCCTTCAAGAGTCAACCCGTCGAATCAACTCACACTTTACTTAATATTCTTATTACCAATGTTGACAAATGCCTAACTATAATTTTTTACAAAAACAACAACATCAATGCCGTCTATACTACTAATCTTACTGCCAACATTCGTCTCTCAAAATTTGAAAACCCTCCAAAAGCATAGCTAACACCAGTACATCTCCAAAAAAATGATCACAAAGTTTTTAAGGTAATCTCAGTCTTCTTTGAAGTATACAAAAAAAGACTTCAAAACTATTATACTGAAGTCAAAACCAGCATTTTAAACCTTATGTTTCTGGAAACAATAAAATTTTTTTTAAATACTGACATACTTTTTGCCTATTTGATAGTAACAAAGCAGGAATTATAAAGGAACTCCTTAAACAAAAACTCACTTATAGGCCTCATGTTTTTTAGAACAAAATTGATATTAATATAAATGAAGCAGCCAAAACTTTTTCTTTGAAGTAAAAAACTGAAATATTAATATCTTCTCCTAATACTTTTGTCCTAATTGGAGAAAGAATCAATAACAATAATGTGCAACCTGATTGTCAAGATAATATACAACATACAAACATTCTGAAACACAATATTGATCAAATGAGCCCAATGCTGCATTCCCTAAACACAGCAACAACCAACCCAGTTCCTATAAAATCTCAAATAACAAACCTATAGCACAGTATAATAGCAAGAACACAATATGCCCACCTATTCCCTCACATATAAGCTATCTTAACCAGCTATAGCAAACATAGAAATTAATGAGCACCTCTTCCTAAGCCAATCAGTAGAGACTCTTGAATTCCTTTCCATTGACTAGGTGAATAAAACTAACAAATACCTAGAAAAAAACCAAACTAAAAAGATTAAGGCCATCAGCATCTCTGACATTAAAAATACTTCACTTAATGAACAGAATAAAATCTTGGAGCTATATAAGGAACTCAACAAGTGCAAAAGAACAGTCAAATCTGTAATTAATTTGCTTATAAAGATCAAAAATGAACTGACAGGCACCCAAGAACTTCTCTCAAAGGAATCTTTTCAAAAATCAAATACAGAGATCATAACTTCTTCAGGACATTTGCAAAGGATGAATTATCAAAGACCAATACCAAAAAGAATATCAAAAAATCAAAAGGCAATTTTACTCAAACTATTATCAAGCCAACAATTTGGGATATGTTATCAGAACCATTCAAAACAAAATTAAAAAATAATTAACAAGGCTCTCTTCGTTATTTACTTGTATTCAACAGACCTAGCTTTACTTAAGTATTGATAAGTTAACCAACTTCTTGAATACAGATTTAATTTCTTTATTAATCCTACACTACAAAAAATTGCCTATCAAGAGTTATATAAAGCATATGAAGAAATTATCCAGAAAAACCTATCTGATCTACCTAGTAACCCAAATAAAATTCCCACTACAATAAAAATCAGAATTTTCAAAACCATTTTAATCACCTCAGGCAAAGACACAAGTGAAGTTATTAGCAGTCTAAGAGCTTTCTACAACTTTGATATTCTCTACATCACATACTTCATTAAAAACCCCAATCTTCCCAACAAACCCAAAGATTTTAACTTAAAAGTAGCTTACTTTTTTCCACTCATGGAATAATATAAGCTTGCAGATCTCAAATTCTGTATGAAAAAACTCAAAGAACACTATTATGTCTCTAATAAACTCCCAAACTCATACTTTAATCCTTCCACATCAAAAGAACATTTTTCACCATTATTCGAAGACTTATCAACCAACTTTGTCAAGTATTTTCCAGGTAACAATACAATAGATGAATTCACGAGAGATGTAAACTGCTCAAAAATAACAATTTTGCAGTAAAACACCTTCCACTCAACTATATAAAAGTTAAGTACCCTTTTTCTTCAACACATTAGTATAGCAAAAATAATTCACTTCTCCTCCTGGTTACTATACAAGAAGAGGCTGATGAACTTATCAAAAACTTCAACCATAAATTTTATCTGAAACTTCCCTTAAGACCCAAATGGATTAAGAATAACCTTTATTAATCAGACAAACTCAAAATTCCTGAAGATCATGTTATCATAGAGACTGAGCTAGATATTTTCAAAGAACAACTTAATAGAGAGTCACCTGATTTCAAACAAACCATTTCAAAAATCAAGAACAAATATCTAGATGAAATCCCTAGAGAATAGATTACTTCTCTACTAACTGACCTACCATACTTAGAAGAAGATAATGAAATTCTCACAAATCTCAAAGTCAATTCAACTCTTCCATTAAAGAACAATCTTTACTTGAATAACAATATCAAAACACTTAGCAAACATTTTCACTTTAAAAAACTTTCAACAAACTTTATAATTGAACCAGAGTTACCTGAACCAGTGATAACTTTTCTTTCTAATCTAATATAACAATAAACAGTGTCTCATCTAACTTTCAATACTCACTAAATACATTACTTAACTTGTTATCCATTACAATTCCAAACACTTTTCTCCATATTCAACCTAATAACATTACTTTTTTACCAGCTCAAACTCCCCCTACATACTCGAAAAACCTAATCACAACCTCTATACTCAATGTTAAAGGACTGACACAAAGAAAAAAACTAAAGGAGCTCTTTAAAGCAATTACAAACAAGAAAAGTATCTTCTGCTGTTCTAAAACAAAATAATTTATAAACAAACCTCTACTCAAAAAAATAGACAACTTGACAATTATTTTAAGCATATCCTTAATAAGCACAAGCAATAGCACATACATTATAATAACAAAGTCTATCAGCAATTATATTTTTAATGTCTTTATTGAGAACCAGTACTGGTATGCCATTCACCTGAAATACAAATCAAAGATTGACATTATTGTTATATCATGCTACCTGTTCCATGAAAGAGCCCAAAGGAAACAAGCAGTCACTA